TTCAAGTTTCTGTTAGACCTACGGTTTGCATTTCAGTTGTTTTGCCGGAGGGCAAACGTAATCTACAAATATGTGGGATCTAATGTTTGCATTTTTGGCCAGATTCTATAAGGGTAATTAATTGCCATCTTCACGTTGGCTCTTTTGCAGGGAAATGAGATTTTGCATGCTGTATAGTAGGGGTTTTGACTGATTTTTGGGGCTTGGCTTAGATTTTTTTCCTACGTGAAAATGAGAAAATTTACCTTTTTTCAAACTACGCTGGTTCTCCACCATGTCAATGCCTCGTCTCGCCTATAAGGTATACACGGTATATAAGTATTTGTTCCTGTTGTTTCAACGGGGCAGAAAAACATGCTTGCTATAAGTACTCGTTCGGATTGTTCCAATATGGCGGGGAAATCCTATTATAAGTACTCATTCATGTTATTCCAATGGGCGGAGAAAGCCTATTATAAATAACTGTTTGGGTTGTCTCAGCTCAGCAGAAAAATTGGGAATTTTGTTGTATTCCTTTCTAGGGATTGAATGCTTACGGGCATCCTGCTAGGAGTGGTGGTCAGACTCAGTCCCAGAGATAGTCCCCCAAGCAAGAACGACGTTGGGAGGCTGCCAAAAGGTTGCTGAAATTCTGATTGGCAGGCCCAAACAAACCGGTAAAGATGGACAATAAAAATGCAGATTAAGTGCCTGTTTGGTTGTTCCAATTCGGCGGGAAAATTCTATCGTGTTACTTTGCAGATATCGAAGGACGACGCGCATCGTTTTACATAGAATGGGTAAAAAATATATTTCAGTCGCGGTGTCTCATGAAACCTGTCACACACATTTTGTTAGATGCGGTGGTTAGACCTAGCTTCTCGAGGTAGCCCCCCGAGCGGGGATGACGTTGGGAAGCTTCCAAAATTTTATTTGAATGTCGCGAACAAAGCTCGTCATCTTAATTTTCATCGGATCCGCAGTACGCATCTAAAAGCGGACAAAAGACCATATTGAGGGTTCAAAGTGAAGATCTGCACATGTTTACCATCAGATTCACAACACACATCTAGAAGCGGACAAAAGGCGATATTGAGGGGTTTGATATGAAGCTTTGCATATGTTCGTAACACCTTACAAGAGTAGATAGAAGGTGAAACTAAACACCTAAAGTAAATAATATTAGCACAACTTAATGATAACACAAGTGTAAATACTAATAAACCCTCTAAAAGCCAATCTAATTGCTCAATCATAAAAATCCTGCATATTCTTCGACCAAAAATGCTAATTGCTCAATCATAAGGTCCAAGGATGCTGCGTTAGTTAAAATATATGCTTAAATTTTAAATCGAACTTAGCTTGAAATGCGTGCAAACTTATTAAAAAATTAACCCATATAAATAAGTCTCAACTCTCGCATATGCTCCGACTCATGTAAAAACTAATTAATCACATGGTCTGAGAATATTGTACGGGTTAAAATAAATACTTAAGCTTAAATTTCTGTCTTGAAATATGTGCAAAGTCATTTAAAAATCAATTCAAAACAACAATTTTAATATACCTGCATTTGCTCCAACCCACGTGTTAAATGCTTAATTACAAGAATGTTGTGCGGGTTAAAATAGATGGTTAAGTTTAAATATAATCTGTCTCGAAGCACATACAAAGTCATTTAAAAATCAGTTCAAACCAACAAGTTTAATATACCGTATGAACTTTGATGTGTCCCTAAATACTCAAACTTGAGGGTCCGAGGATTTTGCAAAGGTCAAACACATGCTTAAACTAAAAGTATTTTTTTCTTAAAAAACATTCACACAATGCAATGCTTTGTGAAAATCTCATCTTTAAATATCAAATGGAAAACTGTTAAATTATACACAATTAAAAACGCGTCAACTTGCTTATAAGGCGAGGTCATAAGTCCCACACTTTGATCAATTGATCCTCCTCCCTAAGCCAGTCTAATCCTCCTCCCGAAGATTGGAGTCAACATAACTAATGCTCTTAATGATGCTTAAGTTAGAATTATTCTCCGATGAAGGGCATATTCATTGCACATCTTAACCGGAGGGGTTTATTTATAAACTTAAGATTATAAAATTATTAAATTCAAATATATAAGATGAAATATAACACTAAAATACTTAAAGCAAAATTCATCCATTATCAGCATGTTGTTTGTCGGGTGGACAAATTTAACGTTGACTCGAGCTCACAAAGAACCAATGTCATATCAAATATACCATTAAGTTCAAACTCAAAAAAATTTTATTTCAGTAAGAACATGGCTCGAGTCCTGGATTCACATGATTTTATCATCAACTGACACCACAAAGAAGTGGTTAAGAATAGAGCCCTCTGACCCAGTGTTTTGCCGTCAAATAACATCATTATATTTCGACCACGGCAGTAGCTCGTATGTTCTGCAATTGTAGTATTCTCATTTGAGTATTGAATAATAAGGTATATTTTATATGACATAAAGCCCTATGAAAGCTAGGTTGATTTAGATTAGCCCTCTTGGACAAACACTCACCCCAGGTCTACAAGATTCCTATGGAAAAAGCAACTCATGACTACTAACAATGATCATTTTGTGAGGTTAGGTCGACTACCTCCTCTGACTAAATAGACCAGGCTCCATGACAACCTGGGATGATGAAACCATTGAATCTTGATCATGTTCATCATCATTTTCCCACCATCTACTTTAAGCTCAGGGTGATAAAATTTTATAATTTTATATTTCAAATTTGTTACTACTATATGCTAAAGTCTGAATGCTTAGTTTCTAATGACTAGCTTTAATCAAAAATGTTCTTTCATTATTAAGAGAGGTAATTAATCATAGAGGTTTGTGCCTATGAGAAACCCCTGATCTTAAATCCCTCACAAAAAGAGAGCAAAATATTTGGATGGTGTCTAATCTACTATCTCATCCACCTTTTGAAAATTTAACTCGGAACTTAACACATAAGCTCTCGACTAGAGTCCAAAATATTTTTGAATTTTTGGAGCTCACAGCTACTCCTCTTATCATACTTTTGTACATAAATTCTTTATAATTTCAAGGCTCATCCGAAACCGGCCTTCTATCTGATGGTTATGCTTATCCTCCTAACCCTTTGAGAAAATATTCCATAATCTGATTAGCTGCTTTCAAAACTTCAAGTTAGGTTCAATTTCTTTTCAAAAGAAAGTGATTGATGTTTCTACTCTTACTAGCACGTTGATTTTGATCGTTTCAACTACTAATATTATCACCAAAAATATTCTGCAAGTTTTTGAAATAACTCGACCTCTTCTCAATGATGAACAGTACAATAATTATTTGTTACAAAAAAATCCATATTTTGATTGGAACATTCAGATTATCGATCTTTAGTGGATAATTATTTTTTTTATACAAAATGAGGTAAAAGTTAGAAAAAAAATCTATCTCCACTCTCTTATTTTTACTAGGCTTCATGCGCCCAAGTTTCAAATTAAATACTTGTATCTTTTTCTACCCAGTTTTATTGTTCATTTTACTATGGCATTTTTTTCTAAATACACTCAATTTATTCAAATCATTATCTAGTTGATATTTGATATAACTGGTTGAAAAAAACATCAGTTTGGGAACTAAAGGAAGTGGACCTGGTTATCAAACTCAAAGTAGAATTTGGTCTGGAGTAATTCCAAATATTCAGCCAAATGTGATTTACATGAATAGAGGGCAGTGTGCCAGATAAGAAAATGGAGGGAAGAAAATGGAAATGAAAAGATGGTAGGTAGGGTAAAAAATGAATAGGGTGGGGCGAATTATGCACTCAATTGTGAGGTCAATCACTCCAAGAGTTATGTGTCCGGAGAAGATAGCAATGAAGAGTGCAGTTGGTTGCTTATATGAAAAAAGGTAACGTAAAGTGCAAGTCAAGAAAGAAAGGGATTGTGGAGGATGCTGCCATTATGATAAAGAACTTTTTTATCGTAAATTCCAGATTTGCTAGCATAATTGATGACAATGGTGAAAGGGAAGACTGATGTGAAGTAGATGAAGATGAAGGAAGTTGCACTCCGAGCTGGCAAGCACCAGGAAAGAGAAAAAGAAGATAGTGATAGAGATGAGTGTGTCACTAGCCTGAGATGAACTAAGCAGATCACTATCGTGATTTACAAGCCATTCCTCAGACTACACACAGAAGCCTTAACAAAGCAACCCGGCTTATTAAATAAAAAAAAAAAAGAGGCAATTTTTTTGTTCTGGCTATTCATAGAATCGAATACGACGCATAAGCTGGTAAGAACTGACTCAATTTTGAGGATTTTTGAAAACCCCTACAGCTTACAATCACGTGGGTGATGCATTCTTAGGCAGCACGATCCAACATGCAGGGCAAAAGCAGATGCAGGCTGCTGAGTCAATGATTTGAAGTTCTTCGTTTGCCTTCATCACTTCCCCATCTATAGAGTCTTCTTCCTCATACCCTTTATCACTTATTCTTTTCCCTTGAAACAATATCTATTGCCTAATAGCTTACATTAGAGTAGGATTCAATGATACGGGTTAATCATAGTAACCAACCAAACTAAAATGAGCAACTCAATTTGATTTATACCAAAATAAATCAAAGTGACTAATCAATATCTACTGCAGAACATTAAAGTTCCAAGTTTATGTCTTGTTTGAAGGAGCAAACTCTTTTAAAAGTCACATCCGCGGAATGGATATTATCATCTGCGATCTAAAATGACAAAAAAGTTATCGTTCAGTTCTTCAGGAGATGTTGCATTATCAAATGAAAACAAATCCACTCGTCGGCGTTCACCACAAAAGAACAGAGCTTCGTTGCCTTCTCAAACGAAGACTTGAACAATTCTAGAATTTCATCATAATTAATTTCCATTTCCAAGAAAATTGTGTTAAAATGCATAAGAAATTCTGCTGAATAAAGATGGAGTTAAGCTCATAAATGGTAGAAAAATCTGATATCTATTAATGTTTGATATATAATGGTTAAAATACTTGCCGGAAGAAACAAGCTCTGCCACTCGAAAGGTCGAATCATAGGAATAGTTGAGAAAACAATAGCTGATAAGACTCCCTGTCCAGAAAAGATAATAATTGAATTAGGTAAAAAGACATAGCCATACTCCACGGAAACAAATGAAATTTGCTTAGCAATAGTCCTTCCGTCTCAACTTCTTTGCAAAAAAAAAAAGGTGTTCGAATGCATGCATTTGCACCAATTCTTATGGCTGGATTGTTAATATGTTTTGTTTTAAATCACATAAATTCACAAAAAAAATAAAAAAAAATAATAAAAAAATTCAAAATCATAAAAATACTGGACTAGAAAATTTCTAAATTATGAATACATATAAACCTGCAACTGCCCGCAGAATCAAATGACATCAATTGGAATGTACAACCATAGAAGTATTGGCTGGATCTTTACAAAAAAAGTATTTCTCATGCATCATCACCAACATCACTAATTTTTTTTCTCAAATCAAATTGGCATTAGATTCATGAATCCTCAATTCATTCATAATGTTAGCGACATGAGGTGAGTCGACTTCAAATAAGCTAATAACAATAGGGACTAATTAGAGGAAGGACATTAACACGATTATTGATATTTTGATGAAGTGCTTAATAGTAAAACACAAGGATTGATTCAAAGCTGATATGTTAACCTAAGCTGCTGTTTTTTCATATCAATGATATAAGAAACTTAATGATAGAAGAAACATCAAAGCCAAGCTTAGGCTAACCATTAAGATCATATGTGAATGATGTGATAGCAACCATGGGGCTAGAAAGAAGTTCTAACTAACAAACTACCAAATTTCTTCTCCTAAATGGAACGATGAATGTAAGGGATATTATGGAGAAAAGAAGGAAAAAAATAAATAAAGCATTGCTTGGGAGAGAGTAACTGATTTAAAATGAAAAGCTTTCATATAAATTATCATGGCAGTGCCCAAATGAAGGAATAAGAGTCTCCTTAAGTGACCATTTGGTTGGATGTATAGTAAGAAGTTAAGAAATATTTTAATTTTTTGCGTGGTTTGTGCTATTTAAAATAAATGCAAAGTAATTTTAATGCGTTTGAAACACTCCAAAGCAAGAGTTTTACACGCAAATAAAAAAATAATAAGAAATATAAAATAATAGAATAAAATAGATGTTTTACATGCAAATGATACACTTCCAAATTGATCGATTTTAATTTTCTTCGTTGCTTGTCCTTTTTCTATAACTCAAACACCCTCTTTCTCCCTAGCAGCACGGCTGATTAAGCTTACAATCATGCTAAGCTCGGGACTCATCTTTTGCACAAATTTAGTTTAGCAAGTCCTTGAAACTTGCGTCTATATCATACAATTCTTATGTGTTAACATATCTAACATCTAAACATTCATACTTATACTTATAACACTTTAGTGTCAAAATGCTATGTATGAAAAGGTGAATTTAACTTTTAAAAAGTAAGTAATAAGGGTATTTTTGTGTGAAGTTAAAAATTTGAGTGCTATGTATGTAAATATGAAAGTTAGATGTTGATATGTTAATACATAAGAATTGTTATGTATGTAAATGCCCCTTTAAAATATAATTGTTGAACATCCCAAAGCTCATCTTCTTTGTGACATCAATCACACACAACCTAAAACCACTACATCGGGATCTTATTTTCTATCCATATGTATGATTAACGAATAAAGGAAAACACAGACAGTGAAAAATGAGTTGAAGTAGAAAATTAAAATGACAAAATAAATAACTTTTTTTCTTTAAATAAGAATTGTCTAGTTTCATTCCCGAGCTAAAATTATTATTATGTCTTCAAAGTTAGAATATTTTTTCTTTAGAATTAAGATAATTTAATTATCTTATAGTTTTAAACATTTAAATTTCTTAACATTAAATTATAGTAAAAAATAGTTCACAAAAATATGCATATTATACAATTTCATAAAAACAATATCCAATTTTTGAAACTGATTCTTACAAAAAATTGTATAAGATTTATTTATAATGCTAATGTTTGAAATAGATGGACAGCGAATATTGTTGATTATATTTGGCAAGAAAGTTATTCCATAATTATAGTAAAGTTATAGGTTTTATGTTACTGCAAGAAATGTAAAGATAGTGAGGAGGGTAATCGCAGGCTCCAACTTCAGCTTCACGATATGTATAAATAGTCAATAGGTAATTGAGGGATCCATGTTCAGCTCTGCAATATTCAAGTGATTCCTATTGAACTTATCAAAAGGAAGATTTGTGCACTAACTGCATATTTTCCCTCTTAGAAGACTTTAGATTAAGTTTGAGGTTTCTTATAAAGGCATGCTCTTACAGTATCCCTCTCAAACATGAAATGAACGAGATATTTTTATCAAGAGTAATCGATAGGGTCCACAACTTTTTAACTGGTGTGAGAGTGTATGCCGCAATCCAGTATCGGCAGGATGCCGCAATCCAGTATCGGCAGGATCCCGCAATTTACGGATCCCACGACAAGAGGATCCAACGATCGCGGGAACACTGACCCGATACTTCTCTTTTTTTTATTATTTCCTATTTTTTGCAACTTTCTTCTATTTTTGTTTGCTTTCTTATTTTCTTCCTAATTCTCTATTTCTAAGTAGGGTTTCTACTTGGGGGACTATTTATATATTATTATTTTCTGGTTAACGGGACTTTTAATGATTCTTATTATTTTAGGAGACTTCTCTATTTTATGCTTTTCAAAGGGTTGTATTATTTTGTTTTGCAAGTATTGTCTCTGCATCTTACTAAGAAACAGTTGGTGGTTCCATCTCAAACTTCGAAGCCCTCTTTTTTGTTTTCAGTCAGGACAGCCGCCAAGTGATGCTTATCCGCATCTAAATGTCTTCGAACTCGCCTATAATCTTCCCCATGTTAATCCACAACCATCTCTCCACAAAATACGCTTCCTAGATGCCTTCTAGGAGCCCTAAAACGATAGCATCTGGTATTAGAGCTCATCAAGTTCATGATTTCTTTAGGGTTTTAATCAGAAATTCCAAAAGAAATTCTCACCATACCTAAAATATTCCCACCGCAATTCCTATCCCTAACCCTAAATATTCAAAATCCAATTTTCCTAAATTCACAAAAATTTCACCCCAACAACTACACCAAAACCTAAGCCCCTGACCAACTGTAAATTTCAATCCTACGTTTATTGAAAACCCGGTCACGAAAAAATGATGTCAGGCCGCCTAAGAGAAATCTACAAAGAGATGTCTAGAAGTTTACTATGAAGGATATGTAACGGAAAATCTTTCAAATACAACAGAGGCTTGCGCCTTTATGAGGAAATAATCAGGTATGGTCATGTGGCAACAACGGTAACTCATCAATTCAAGATAAGGAAATCAATCCCTTCCATCATGCAGCTTCTAGTGACGAAGAACCACTACCTCGATGATTCGACATGAAATATCAGAGAAGTTGGGATCTTTGAGTAAAGATAGATTTTCTGGATTTCATCGGTCTTATGTATCTAGATGAGTATATTGAGTGGATATAAATAGTAGAGTAAATTAACTGTCATGGTAAAAAGCTTTTCATGTGTCTTTTTCTTGATTTATAGTGCGAAGCATCATATGCATAAAAATTAATATGAAACGCTCAAGTATGAATTTGTTATCACTAAATCTACAATCAAAGTAAGTATGTTGGATTTGGAGTTCATGCAAACCCAATTAAGCTCATATCCTTGATCTAATCAAATACTTCGTGAACAAATGAGAAGTTTTTATTTGTTCGTATTATTGAGATTTGTCAAATTGAAGAAGCTATAAAAGGATAGCTTAGCCATCAACTCACTCCATAACCCAATAATAATAAAGGATCTAATCCTCAAAGGTAAGAGTTAATAAGTTTACCTTGATCATCAGCTCAGCCCATAGCCTAATCATATACGAAGATTTAATCCTCAATATATGGAGATAGAGTTGGTAAAATTTATAGCATAAAAATTTTAAGGAAATTCAGAAGTCATATATATGCATTTGCTTGAACCTAACCATCTATAAACAAGTAAACAGAGTCAACAAGCATCATGAGTTGATAATCTTCTAGAATAGAGAGTCATGGCATAATAATCTATATTTAAAAAATAATATATGTGCATTTATGCCTAATACAAGCATGATTGTTATATACCAAAATTGAAGTGGTTACCTTAATAGATAAAGCACACAATTACAAAAGAGATAAGTTGGAGACTCCGAGGGAAGTTAGTACAAGAATATAAACAGAGGAGTTGAAATTTACATAAACCTCGATTATTAAAAGTGCAAAGCCCTTAAAAGCAACCCCTTTGGCCGGGCAACAAGCATCAAAGCCACTAAATAAGAATTATAAAATATAAAAAGCCTAGAAAAGTCAATTTGAAGACGTAATAGAATAATCACGGGTATAAATTTGTTAAATTTTAAAAATTACTAACAGTCTTCCTTAACAACAGCTAGAAGTCAATTTCATGAAATGGAGCACACAACACCCGTGATGGTAGAGCCGACCTTCCAAAACTTCTCTCTGATTTAACCAGCCTCAATAATGCAGACTAAAAAACACTTCCGAGATTTCTGATCAGACCGGTAGGCTCTCAACTTTAAATCCACAATTCATGGGCATACTCATTTCAAAAACATAATTGAAGGGGTTTCCAGTTATGCTTTCAACAATGACTCAAGAAAAATGCATCAAGTTACTTCATATAAAGCGGTATCTAAATAAAGTATTATAAGGCCTTCATATTAGTCTTAATCAAAAGTATTTTCGAATGATTAAGATGGATGATCAATCTATAAGCTTAAATCTACATAAAATTTCTGAGCATTCCATTAAGTACTCGTATGGGAGGTGAAATCTCTAGGCAGCAACTTGTTTAAAAATCAGTCAATATTCTAAAAAATTTAGCTTGGAACCAAGCGAATACCATAGAGCTAGGTGGAATTTTCAAAATCCTCGGACAACTTCCAAGGGAGGCATTCTCCTCATGCTGGTGTGAGATATTTAAATTGGTAACTTCTATCTTCTATACATTCATTACTTCTCTTTTAACTAAACTATTTTGTGATGGGTTTGTGAGCTTTAATGAGATATTATAAACTTTGATATACAGAAATTTTCATGATGTGAATCTTAGTAGTTGTGAAATTTTATATTGATTCTCAGAGTTCTTATGAAAGCTAAAATTTTGGCAACTTCTATGTTATTGTTTGGAAAGAATTAAAAGGGTTTTCTAAGTTTGCATCAAATGAGACAAATCCTTGCCAAAATAAAATAGTGGTAAATTATGAGTTTTAACATTTTTGTGTGTTTCTTTATGCTTCTCATACTAAATTTACATTTAAACTCTAGAGCCTAAGATATCTCGCATCACTTAGCTACTTATCCATGATTTTCTCCATATTTCCTTCAGCGGTAACATAGAAGGGACGTAAATGCACAATCTAATGCACTCTCCCAATATTGAGACGAGTTAATTCCAATTTGTGATACTTAAACCCGTGAGAGGGGATTCTATGTCAGCAAAAAAGAAGTGATTCAATAACCCCTACTCGGATTGAACTGTAAATGGTGTTTTGCTTAAAGTATATCATGCTTGGTGGGAAAATTATTGGCAATACAAGGTTAAACATAATAAGAATAAATTTCTAGGTCAAAATCAAAAATTAAATCACATTGCAAGATTTAAAATTTAAAATTTTACAATTTGAACTTACCAAATTTGGGCATTTGACTACAACTTGCTTTTCCAATAATGCTCCAGTGATAAGCGCCAAAACCTAAAATATATAACTATTTTTTAACTCCACATAGAAAGTTGAATTAATTGGAACAACACAATGCTATGTGCTGAAAATAAGAATAATGTTAAAAAACAAAACAGTACAAATCGCAACAAAAAAAATCTCCACAGATCAAAAAATTAATTTTATATTAAAAAATATATAAGTTAAAACCATTATTTTACTGAGAAAAATATTGACTAAAAAAATTTAGTTGATTTGGTTGATTACTATTATCCTGAAATAACCATCATCTAACCCAAATCATCAGCGAAGGCATTACACTTTCAAGAGATAGAGCTCGGCAAACCGTAGCAACCGTCCAAATTGAGAAGGCAAAAGCTTCTTCAGCAGCTGCTAATCTTGAGTTGAGCTGATTAGAGGATTTCATATTATGAATTAAATGTTCCAAAGAAAACAGTTGGGCAATAGGAAATTAAACACCTCACCTCATTAAATTCAGGATAATCAAGTTTTTCACCGCCATATTTGCTATCCAATCCCAGAGAAGATAGATCTGGCCGACAATAATTAATTGGTTGCAAATGCTCCAAAGGGTGAAAAATTATTTCCTTGCCATGGGTGGGTATTGGAAGGGCATGATAACCACACACAATTTGCAGAGGTTCATTACCATTTGCCTGGTAAAAATAAAAAATTGCATTGGCATATAGGCATTAAAAATACCAGAAGAAATAGCAAAACCAGAATATCATACATAGAAAATAAGAGTACCTTAGCCCATTCAATTACTTTTTCATCACCAGCATTCGTGTCAAGCTTAGAGCAAAATTCATCATCTTCATCTTCAGATCCCAGACCTTTAAATGAACTGTCCAACAGTATTTAAGCGCATTCAAAAAAATTTAATGACACTAAAGTTACACGTCATTTAAAGTGTATATAACAAAGATAACAAAGAACAGAAAGAAACTTGGACAAAAAAGCTCAAATGCCATCAGACCTTGCATGAAATATCTTATGTCATTATAATGAAGGGAAATTTACATGCAGACCAAGCGAATCCTATGGATTTACATATCTAACACCAAAAGTTTACTATTTACATTTGTAACACCTCGGTGCTATAAATCTATGCATAATAATGTATATTTGACTTTTAAAAAGTTGGTAAGTGATATTTTTGATGTGATGTTAAAGATTTGAGTGTTATTTATGTAAATATTGAAGTTTAGGTGTTAGACATGTAAGTGCATAAGAATTGTGCGTTACATACGTAAAGGCCCTTATAATGAATTATGATACTGCACTCCTTTATGCCAATGTTACATTTGCTAAACCGCATACAATTTCAAACAGTACACAAAATGGTATCTCAACAATGTCTAGGTCACATCCGTGCCTCACATGTGCTTATCCAGGATACCATAATTGATGTTTTAGACTACTAACGAAAATAGAGATGCACATATCAACTGCTATATCTACACAAAATAAACATTAGTTTTGGAAATCTAAAATTTGCATGCTCAACTAATTATTGAGCCAATTTGGCACACGCTATCCAGTTATAAATTATGACTTTTTTAACAATAACTAAATATATTTAAATCACTAAAACTTAATAACCTGCTGATTAATCATAGGAGTGGAGTATTATGTAAACAACATTATCCACATGCCTGGTAGAACTTCATGCAATCAATCAAAAGATTAATGAATGAAGTATTAAAATAGTCCATTGACTATTTACATGGCGCCATTTTAGTCCTGGAGTCTATTAAAGTACTAAACTAGGACCTAGACTCTTTTAATATAGGCTGAAATAGACCCCATTGAGAACTATTTTAGCCTCCACTAAAAGAGTCTAGGGACTACATTTGACACTTTATAGACTCTGGGACTAAAATGACTCTCTACAAAGTATCAGAGGACCATTTTGACACGTTTCTCAAAGATTAATATTGCAACTTGCTCCATAACCCACATCAAGCCATAATTAAACTCTACATAATGAGCTCTATTAATGAAAATCATCCCCGCCCACGAGGAAGTGATAAATAGACATGATTGAGATACGAAACCATAATTTTACATGGATCAGTACAATAACAGAATGAAAAACTAGAGAATAGAGGCATAAAAGGCATAGCATGAACACAGAGAGTAGACAGATTTAATAAGGCATGCAATAAAAACGTAAGAATGTCAAGTAATAAATAATGCATACTGATGCTCAACAAAACTTAAGGAGATATAATCAGCTGGCATGACAGAATTTAGAGGAAAAAACTGAGGAAACTGAGGGAGAATGAGAAACTGAGACAACATCCATGAATCTCAGCTAGAGAGACTTTGCTAACTGGACCAAGTAGAATTATCGTCAAGCCCATACAATAACTTTCTTGAAAAGGAAGCAAGGACATGCACCAAATGAAACTTTAGATATAGCTATCCTGACCATAGTTAACCTTCAGTCACGAGGTGAAATGTGTCAAACATGATTAAAGAAGCCCTCTAGACTGTTTGTTCCAAAAGTCCTTATTTTAACCACAAAACATCAGTGAGAATTTAACCCCTATCCTCAAACTTAGCAGAGGTGAGAGAAATACCAATATGTATCTTATATGGCCAATTACATTCAATCAGTTTGTTTAAAAACAGACTACAAGCCATTGAATAGCTCAAGATGGCCTATAACAAAAGGTGGCAACAATAAAGAGTGTCAATACGTGCCTTTTTTGTATTTTATGAAAGCTTTTTTACACAGTTTTCTTAAGTTTTAGTGTTATCTACATTTTCGTTCTTTAGAAAGACCTAGTTTCTCATTCTAAACTTCTTAGTCAATTTTGATGTGCAATAATACAAATTCATTGAAAATTGACGCCAATGAAAATTTCAGTTGAAAGAAAATTTAAGCATCTTTTAAAGTAAGTGAAATTCTAGAGTTGCTTCATAAAGCGTACAGTACATTCTTAAAGAAGCAACTCGGTTCATGTCTAGAGTATCATTGAAAAGCATGCATCGATGAGGGTAGCGGTTTCATCAGAGCATGTGTGCGTGTATGTTTTGCGCACCTTTGATGGACATTTTCGCATCCTATTCGCTTATAAGTTTCCTTGCACTTGTGCCCTGGTTGATGGAAAGTTTCTTGACATTTGTGCTGAATATTTGAAATATATATTATTTTGTTGTCCACGCTTTATGATGCAATTTCTAGCAATTTGATTTGAGATCTTTTGTTCAGGGTCAAGCCTCATCATTTCTCACATGCTTGTGTTCTCATTTTTTGTCCCTTTCATGATAAATTTCAACAACATTTCCACTTCACCCCTAAGGGAGAGTATTAGAAAATATGCTTGGTGTCGGCGCAAAGGATTAAAGTGTGGGGGAGTTGCCCGTAAAAAGTTGTCGGTCACCAGAATAGAAATCTCGTTCCCCGCTTCGGAAGGACGTTTAATTTACATATATATGTATAATTTTTAGAAAAATATGAAATCAAACTGACCTCATATTTTTCACAGTTTAAATGAAAGAGCGCTCTACTTAAAATCTCGTATCTATCCCGAGGGATAAACATAAGACTTGAGGATGATGCTCGATCAAATAAACTAAGAAATATATGACATCCGTTTGGTCTGCGAAACCGTTTTATTTGCCGACAAGCTTCCCTATTTAATACAAAGAATCAAATAGGGTTTATTTTAGACTGGGTTCAAAAAAGCTTCCTATAAGGGCAACCTCTATAGTTAATGACATCTTAAATGACCGAAGTCACTTAAGAAAACTTTCGATAAAAATCAGGGAATACTATCTTCAAAGAGGTCAAAAGGATAGGACTTTACAACGAAATCGGACGAAGAGGTGTGAAAGGGGAAAAGTTCGAATCTGGAAAATTGTTGAGGAACCAAAATGAAGAGAAACTAGGGGAGACCACGGATCCTGAGGTGAACCTTGGTGTCTTCTCAGTCTATCATATGATTTGGCTCTAGTTTTGAGAAGAAATTATTAAAGTGTTTCATCCTGCCAATTTTATTTAGTTAGGACTTATATTCGCGTGACACGGTCACACAAGTTGCCTGGAAGATATGAGGGTTTACATCGTATCTGACGACGACCTCGGAACCTAGAATAAATCGTACAGCAGAGCTATACGAATGCCTAAGGAAAAGGTGGAGGATTTATGTTGCGCTAGGCAAACAACCTCGAAATCCTATGGATTGTTGTTTTAATTTCTAAGAAAAGAACGGTTTAGCGGGGGAAGACATGTTCTGCTGTTAAAGATGGTCGTGCTGCCCACCGCGCTAGCTCCAAGCTCCTTGCCGTGACGAGTTTAAGTTTTCTAGGGTGTCCAGTTACGATGTCAAATCAAACGGCCCTATGGTTATAGTCCTCTAAATGTCCTATATAAAAGAAGGCATGCTTAAAGCTATATAATATAAAATGTGCAATACAGGACAAATAGTAGAATGCATGTATAACAGTAGTAGGCAAAAACATAACTAGTATAACATGCTGTACAGAAAGAACAGTAGCAAGTAGAAAATAGGAATAGTATAACATGTTGTACAGGAAGAACAATAGCAGGTAGAGACAAGAATAGTATAACATGTTATACAGGAAGAACGTAGCAGGTAGGAACAAGAAAATGAAGTACTGTAAAATATAAAGCAAACTTGTACGCCCGTGAAATCCACTGTTTCTTATGTATAGCAAGCCTAAATGCATCGCAAAAAGCGAAGTCTGGAAGAAACGTCGTCCAGGAAATCCGAAGAAGAGTGTAACAACGACTCATGACAGAAAACTCGAGAAAATCAACGAGAAAAGACTCAAGTAAGAGAAAAGAAAAAGAATCCACAAAAATTCTCGAAATCCTATGGATTGTTGTTTTAATTTCTAAGAAAAGAACGGTTTAGCGGGGGAAGACATGTTCTGCTGTTAAAGATGGTCGTGCTGCCCACCGCGCTAGCTCCAAGCTCCTTGCCGTGACGAGTTTAAGTTTTCTAGGGTGTCCAGTTACGATGTCAAATCAAACGGCCCTATGGTTATAGTCCTCTAAATGTCCTATATAAAAGAAGGCATGCTTAAAGCTATATAATATAAAATGTGCAATACAGGACAAATAGTAGAATGCATGTATAACAGTAGTAGGCAAAAACATAACTAGTATAACATGCTGTACAGAAAGAACAGTAGCAAGTAGAAAATAGGAATAGTATAACATGTTGTACAGGAAGAACAATAGCAGGTAGAGACAAGAATAGTATAACATGTTATACAGGAAGAACGTAGCAGGTAGGAACAAGAAAATGAAGTACTGTAAAATATAAAGCAAACTTGTACGCCCGTGAAATCCACTGTTTCTTATGTATAGCAAGCCTAAATGCATCGCAAAAAGCGAAGTCTGGAAGAAACGTCGTCCAGGAAATCCGAAGAAGAGTGTAACAACGACTCATGACAGAAAACTCGAGAAAATCAACGAGAAAAGAC